TTTTTATGGTTTATGGGGACTCTCCATAGGCATAATGGTTTTTATACTGTACAAACCGTATTTTCTATTGCCCTACCCCTAAACCCTACCCCTTACAGGAAACTTTCATAGAAAAATGTTATAAATTTATAAGCCTTTTGAAATATGGGGACACTCAAAATGTCCTCATAAACCATCTTCTCGTTGTAATACCTATGTCATTATACAAATTTGTGTCCTCATATAGATCACAAAAACGTGTGCGCACACACATATATGTATTGTTTATTATCAAACAAAAAACTCATCAAAATAGAGTGATCGATAGTGTCGAAGGCTGCACTTAAGTCCAAGGGAACCAAAACGACACATTTTCCAGAGTCAACAGCCAGTAACAGATCATTTAACACTTTCAAAAGAGCAGATTCTGTGCTGTACTGAGCTCTGAACCCGGACTGAAACCTATCTAATATGTCATTATTCTTTAAAAGTGGCCTTTTATTGTGGCCAGCCTAAGGCACACCTGTGCAATAATCATGCTGTCTAATCAGCATCTTGATATGCCACACCTGTGAGGTGGATGGATTATCTCGGCAAAGGAGAAGTGCTCACTAACACAGATTTAGACAGATTTGTGAACAATATTTGAGAGAAATAGGCCTTTTGTGTACATAGAAAAAGTCTTAGATCTTTGAGTTCAGCTCATGAAAAATGGGGGCAAAAACAAAAGTGTTGCGTTTATAATTTTGTTCAGTGTATAAATGAATAAGAGTTTAAATAGACTCTCTCTCTCTCTCTCACACAACCACCCACCCCACACTCAGCACATTTATTTTTCAATTATGTATGACTTGTTATTGACTTCAGTTGTTTTTGTTACTGAGCTATGATATCTCCTATCCATTGTGGAATCCTTTATATTGTCATTAATACATGTTTTATGATGTTTATTAGACTACTGTCATTCATTGCGATAGCTGATGATTAAAAGATAATTAATATTATGCATTTCTGTCTCTAAAACCTTTAACATATTGGATAAGAGAATTAGAAAGAGATGAATAAAGACCGTATTATGAATGAAACGTATTATGCAATGAAAGAAAAACTGTACTTAACCTAACCTGATATAAGTACAGGAAATTCATGCATACATTCTGTATTTATGTAGTATTTTTAACGTATTGAAGATGAAAATTTGAGTAGATAGTTAATATTTTTCCAGTTGTTTTAAATAATTTTAAAGTAAACAAAAGATCTCATAAAAAACTTAAAAGCAGATTCTTCTGTTCTCTCTCTCTGTATTACTTTCATTATCCGCTAGGGGCCACTGTTGACGCATCGTTTTTACGCTGTTGACTCAACGCTGAAAGCAGCAAAACGTCTAGGCTGTTGCCCTTTACTATCAAGCGACTCATTATCGTTGCTTTGCAACGCAAATAAATTACTTGCATCATATTTATCCTGTATATAGGCCTAGTGTGTGTGTGTGTGTGTGTGTGTGTGTGTGTGTGCGCGCGCGCGCATCCCGTGCTTGACAGTGCAATTAGTGGTGTATGTAGAACGGACCGGAGAAGCGAGAATTGTGTTCCTGTAGCTT